CAAACCTATATTGTTAAATATAACTATACAAAGCTTAGAACAGCTCATGATCAAACATAATAGACATTCATTGTCTGTTATATTTAAAAATATATGTTTGAATATATATATGTATATATATATATATATGAGTGACTTTTAAAAAATCGTTTAACATTTTTTATATTCTTCATTTTTAAGTGATCAAGTTTTGAGATGGAAATTCTTTAGAATGAGTAAAAAATAAATTAAAGAATTGTTTTTATTCATGCATTCTCCATGTCGACAAAATGTAATCCCGACAGTGTTATAAATTATTGACATTTGGAAAAACGTTCATGAAAAATATGTCACAAAAATAAAAGTCACTCATTTTCTTTGGTCTCTAGCAACACCAGCTTGGGAAAAATAACAAGATTTAATTATTCTAAATACACACAAATACATGCACACAATACATTTTTTATTATTCATCTGTTGAAGGCAAAATGCATTATCGGTTATTATTTTTGGGACATATTTTTCATGAACGTTTTTCCAAATGTCAATAATTTATGACACTGCCGAGATTACATACCCAAATTTATTTCCTACTCTCAACATAGAGAACACATGAATAAAAACAATTCTTTAATTTATTTTCTACCCATTCTGAAAAATTTCCATCTCAAAACTCAGACACATAAAAGTGAAGAATATATATATATATATATATATATATATATATATTTAAAGGAAATTTACTGGCTTGAATGTTCGAGAAATTTCGTACAGGAATCGAACATGTATTCCTATACTATAAACAGTCATTTTGACTTTGTTAACCAGACACTTCTCTGTTAAATGGTACAGCACATCAAATTAAAAAGATGGTTTCCGTATGGGAATACATGATCGATTACTGTTGGAGAACACATCTTTTCTACAAAATATCTCAAACATTTATGCTGCAATTAATACTGTTTAATTAAAAACAGAACATTTACTTAAATAAATTGTATCTAGAAAAATAATATATAAACAAAAATATATATATAATCCTAAATTCACTCTTTGGCAAAAAAGGATATTTGTGAAAAAATAATGGCTAAATTAAAATACAATTTTCATAGAATGAAAATGTAGGGTAAGTTAAGATATAAAATATCCAAAACAATCACTTTTCTTCAACCACAGATTCTAGGAAGATGGTTTCATCAGGCAGTAAGTCTATATATATATATATATATATATATATATATATATATATATATATATATATATATATATTGTTGTTATTATTACTAACCTAACATCTCAGCTTCAGTCTTTTTCCCACCACTGTAATGTAGTTTCTCTGTGCCTTTTATTATAAATACTTTCATGGTAATTGTTCTGATGAACTATCCTCTATGGTAACTAGATATTATGAATTTAAACACAGCCCTAGATTGGCAGCAAGATCTCATCATTTTATAGTGGAAATTGCTAGATGTAACCATAAGTTCTATGCTAACAGTTTCTTCTATCACACTTCTTGCTTGTGGAACACTCTTCTGGCTTCTTGATTTTTAGTCAACTTTAATCTTCAAAAATTTATATGCCATGTCAATCATTATCATCCGTCTTCTTAATTCTTATTTTTTTTTTATTGTCCTCTCTCCTTAAAAGTATTTTTTTCTTATATTCTCTAACATTCAGTACCCCTTTGCATCCTAGTGTCTTTATTTCTTTGCTTGGGTTGAAATGATTATATATATATATATATATATATATATATATATATATATATATGTATGTGTGTATGTGTGTTTTGGATATAACTAAATATATATCTGTAAGAGGACAATATGAATAAACACAAAAGAAAAACTTATCTTAGCCAATCTGTTTCTTCCTCTGATGGGCTTTATCAAGGCAAATATAAGGATTTTATTTTCTCACAGATATTTCTAAACAAAAATAAAGATGTTGTTCGTTCTTCAAAATTTTTTAATCTAAGAACACTCATAAATATATATCAAGCTAACAGAAAAAGTCTCTGTAAGTTATGAAGGATGCTAACTGATATAATTTAACATCTTATAAACAACTTTTACTCACTTCTGATTATTAGACATTAAATTACATCAGTTAACATCTTTCATAAATTACATAGACTTTTTCTGTTAGCATTCTTAAATTTTAAAATTCTGAAATACTAAAAACATTTTTATTTATAAATACTTGTTGCAAAATAAAATCCCTGCATCAGAGTATGAAACACACTGGCTAAGATAAGGTTTCATTTGATCTGTATTCATATAAGTTAGAGAGAGTAGACATAAGAATCAATACTGTATGGTGATAGTCAGTTTCAAATCACAATGTGACCATCACAGCAAACATCACTAACTGTTCACTATTTTTGAATGATTTGATTTGAGCATTGCCTTAAAGCACTCTACTGACTGTTTCCATGCAGTGTAGCTTCCTATATCCACACTGTCTATATTGCTATAAATCTATTATCTGCAGTAGTAAGTAATCTTCCTTTTAATATAGCAAATTTTGAACTACATATATGTGTGTGTGTGTGTGTGTGTGTGTGTGTGTGTGTGTGTGCATGCACGCGTTCGTCTGGGGAATGAAAAAAAAAGAATGAATCGTGTTATGTTGCTAAAAATTCATCTCCATCATTTCTTCATTCTCAGAATTTGTAGAACTTGCATCTTAAATGTGAAACAAGCAGAAACAAGAAGCCAAAAATTCAAGATTACTTTCCTCCTGTCTATCATGACACCAACCAACTGAAACAAAAAAACCCCACCTACTTTCATATATTGTGTACTCTTTGTATTTTTTTTTTTTTTTTTTTTGGCAGGGGCTACTATGATGGTTAGCATGCAAATATCACAGCATAATTCATTTGTATAGAGACTGCAATCCTCACTGGGTATCTTCAGCCAGATTATCCTCTGAGAATAAATTACCATATCGCCGTTTATTTTCACTATATCCGTCCCAAGCTAAAATGCTAAAAAGAAAGATAAATTGGCTAGACCTAATTGCTCTGTGGCAATAACTTCTGCCACTGGATGACACCCAATGTTCAGGACCGTAGATTGCTGACTTGAGTAAAAGTTGCAATAAAAAGTAATTCAGTTAAAAAACAAAATAAAAATAAATAGTAATTGAGTATTAATAATCAACTGACTGACTTATATTGCTATGAAAATGAACTCAATTATATGTTTGGACATGTGGGTGTCAATTACATACAATTGATTGATTTGTTTTCTGCAGCTTATCAACCATTTGCAGTTTATTTAAAGCCAGAAAATATTTTTAGATTGTAAGAATTATTTCTTGCAGAGGGAGATAATAATGATTTGATGATACAAGTCTTACTAATTAACCCATAGCTGGGGGAAGAAGTGGATTCACACCTAATCATAATTTGATAAACAAGCAGTTAATTTTATTGTGAATATAAATTGGGGGATCAATTCTATATTACAATTAATATATAAATTGATACCTCACTTTGTGGTCAAATTACTTTCTTCATGTTTATATTCCAGAGAATGTAAATAAATTTAAAAGCCATGCCGCTATAGTTAATCAGTATTTCATTGATTGATTCATTAATTTTTTACAGCTTATCAACCTTTTGCAGGTTATTTGCTTGTAAGAGACTATAACAAACCCAAATGGAATTCGAACTTGGCTCTCCAATTAACAATTCCAGTGCTCAAATGGTTACCAGGTTAGATTGCTTAACTTTCGTGATCTTATGGAAACTGGTGTTTTAGTGTGAGGTGGCCGTAAACCAACTTTGATACAAGACTAAAATAAATGTATAGTATCCATGAAAATCTCACAGTTTTCCTATTTTAATTCTCTGATTAGTAGCAATTCTCAATTTAATAACTGTTATATTCCATGCTAATAGGAGTATATACTTGAAAAACAAGGTGGATAAAATAAATAAAGGTTTATTGTAAAAAACCAGTACAATAAGAATAAAAGTAACAGTTATGCACAAGGTTGTCGCAAGTCAATCCAGTAGTGAGTGCTACTATTAGAAGGTCAGTAGTTCACGCATAAGCCTGAGTCGTACTCAACAGATCCCAGCTAGAATATTTAGCTACTACCCCCCCCACATGAGGGCTGCATGTGACACAAGGCCGGTTTAACATGGGTTGTCCGAGCCTGTAGGCTCGGCCAAAAATATTCCCTTTTGAACCCATATAAACAAGTTCAGTGGCAGTCTACCTCCCCGAACGAGAATCTGCCCTTTGACAGAGCCTCGTCCGGGTTCCTCTCTGCCCGAAGGAAGAGAGTTCGACTGTTTAGCTGGAACAGATCCCAGCTAGTCTCTGTAGTCTGCTGACTCACAGATACTTATAGGTAGTTACTACCTATAGTGTAGTCACTCATGGGGGTGACAGGTTATTCAATTCCATCAATAGTACAATAACAAGTATGATTGCAGGTAATTCTTCAAAGAAGTAAGAGGGTACAAATGAAAAAAAATTAAAAATTGACAAAGTTTTCAGTTTCATTGAAGCAAACTTTCTTTTTTCTCAGTAAAGCCAAACAGCATTTCCGAGATATTTTTTATTCTTCCATCTTTCCTTACAATCCAGACAAAATGGTCCATTATTTATCTGAGGCAATGGCAGGGTGTAATGTATGTGCTAAGTAACAATGAAACAAGCAAACTTATAATATGAAGTTTAATAAAGATTGTATTTCATCAAAAAAATGGTTGAACAAGATATATCTGGAAAATAATGTTTTTTTTTGTAATTACCATGCCCAATATAACATATTACTAAGAATAAGTAAAATTCAATGTTTGCGTAATTTTTCTTTACTCTGATATTTGTGATTTGTGAAATTACATCCAGTCTTCAGGAGACTTAATCATAAAATTCTCAATTTGCTCATATCTATCTATCTCCCTCTGTCCATATTTATCTCTCAATCACTTTCTATCTTAATTGGTCCATATCTACATAGCTGCATTAGTCCATTCATACTGTTTTTCTTTTTAGCTTGTTCTTTATCTCTCTACATATAAATGCATCTACGTCTGTTCATATCTATCTACATACCTAACCTTTGTATCTAACTGTTTCTATCTATCTATCTATCTATCTATCTATCTATCTATCAGTTCATATCTATCTATCTCCCCTCTGTTCATATCTATCTCCCCTCCGGTTGTATCTATCTATCTATCTATCCTCCATTCGTATCTATTCCCCTCTGATCATATCTATCTCCCCTCCGATCGTATCTATCTATCTATCTCCCCTCTAATCATATCTATCTATCTCCCCTCTAATCATATCTATCTATCTCCCCTCTGTTCATATTTATCTCCCCTCTGTTTGTATCTATTTTCCCTCCATTCGTATCTATTCCCCTCTGTTCATATCTATCTATCTATCTCCCCTCTGTTCATATTTATCTCCCCTCTGTTCGTATCTATCTATCTCCCCTCTGTTCATATCTATTTATCTCCCCTCTGTTCGTATCTATCTATCTTCCATTCGTATCTATCTCCCCTCCGATCGTATCTATCTATCTCCCCTCCGATCGTATCTATCTATCTCCCCTCCGATCATATCTATCTATCTCCCTTGTGTTCGTATCTATCTGTCTCCCCTCTGTTCATATCTTTCTTCCCTCCATTTTTATCTATTTCCCTCTGTTCGTATCTGTCTATCTCCCCTCCGATCGTATCTGTTTTTCTCCCTCCGATCATATCTATCTATCTCCCCTGTGTTTGTATCTATCTGTCTCCCCTCTGTTCGTATCTATCTTCTTTCCATTAGTATCTATTCCCCTCTGTTCGTATCTATCTATCTCCCCTCTGTTTGTATATGTCTATCTATTTATATCTCTTAATCTGTCACTTCCTTTTTCATCTATAAATCACTCTTCACTGTTCATCTCTCTTCATATCTATATTCACCTTAACTTCTTTGCAACTTTCCTTCTATCTTATTCTCTTCATATCTACCTGTCTAGTTTAGTTTTGCATTGGTTGCTTAATGATTAATGCTTCAGTTAAGCACAGATTCTGGCTTTCTTAGAATATGGCTTATCTATTCTGCCATTCTTTCATCACATTTCTGAAGATGAGATTCACTACGTACATGATTTGAAGCACTTATAGAATGTTAGCATTGAACATTCATGTCATAATAGCTCACTTTCCGAGTTCACATTCACAGCAATCGGCATCTGATGAACACACCCTAATATTTCAATGAAATTCTTCAACTATTAAGAATAAAATCATGCTCGTTTCTCTCTTTTGGCATTCACAATTTCCAACATGGTTTAGAGACAACAGACTAATATGAAAATCGATAGAGTTTGCATGGTTGGTATTTTCTGCATTACTGATAAAGGCTAAGCGCTTGATTTGAAATGCTGAAGTGAACAGTGTTAATGTCAACTGTTGGCTATTTCCTCAGCAGATGGTCCTATTGGCATCAGCATAATGGTGTCTGCAATTTCACAAAGATATTTCTTTAGTGTTCTTTTGTGGAAGCAACATTCACAACTGAAAGTTTTGTATTAATCTGTTCATTGAATGAGCTTTGTGCATTTTCTGCAAAGCAATGTCTATCAAGTGGAAGCCAATGAAATTTTTAGAATATACAAGTGATTGACAGAATTATTTCTTGTAAGTGACCTTAAGCATATGATATTTCAAAGTTTCATACACTAAAGAAAATTTAAAATACTCTGGGTGAGATTGGGTCTTTTAAATTTTTCTTAATGGTAATATTAACCATTTCCCTACAAGGAAACATTTGGCATTCATTAACTGAACAGTACGTTTTTTTGTTGAAATTTATAAAATCTTTCTCCCCTCCGATTGTATCTATCTATCTCCCCTCTGTTCGTATCTATCTATCTACCGTCTGTTTGTATCTATCTTCCCTCCATTCGTATCTATTTCCCCTCTGTTCATATTAAATGGTAAAATGTTATTTTTTTTTATTTAAAAATTAACAAAATTGGAATTTTATTTATTAAGAGCTACAATGGACATGTAATTGTGGAGAGACATGATTGGCTACATCCTGAGGGGACTTGGCAAATAAAGAAAATCTGTATTGCATTTAGCATCTGGTACCCACCAGATGCTAAATGCAATACAGATAAATGAAATAAAGGATAAATGTCACTTGAATTAAAAAGAAAAATTCAAAGGAAGTTAAAAAGAAAAACCAAACAGTCCCCAACCCCTTATATATATATTTTTTATAGTAAAGTTCATCCTGGACAAGGCCCAGGGGCCACTTGAGGTAGAAGGTTACATTAAATGGTAGGTTATATGTATAGGAGGGCAAAATAATGGTCAACTCTAGACTTCAACAGGTTAGGATTGTAGTGATCAGAGAAGCATAATCTTGGAGTCAGTTCTACAGAGCAGTGGTTCATGGGAAGAATCTGTTTGAGTGGAACTTCACTGATGGAACACAGAAAGAACGTGGGTGGTTTACTACTCTGTAAGTGGCATGGCGGATCCTAGCTGTGAAGGTTAAACCTGGCACAATCAAGGAATGTAATTTATCTGAGCATTTTCCATGGAAGTTGCCACATGAATCCCACTAGTTTTGTCTCTCTTTTTCTCTCAGTATTTATGTATTGGGCTTTGCTTTATTTTTCTCTACATCGTTTTTGTTATCAGGGGGCATCTGTGCATAAAAAAGTCTGGATTTTTAATACTTTTTCCCTTTATGATGAACAAAATTTTTAAACATAAAAGTAAAACTTGTAAACTAACATTATTTTTCAAAAGCTATCAACAAAGTTAAATACAAAGTTAAAATGGAGCTCTTGCTTGTCAATCCTTTTGTTAAAAATATTGTTATGAAGTGGTTTCACAGTGGAGGCTTGTATTTGTACTAAGTCGGTCGTAAAATAGGTTCGACGTACAAAATGTTAGGAACTTGATATAATAGGTAATGACGCAGCAATCTAGTTGTGGTGGCTGAAACTTTAATGTCTGACATCGACTGACTCACCAACTCACTGAGCTCCTCCGCACCTGCTACTACTGCTACTACTACTACTTATTATAGGTGGGAGAGTCTATTAATAATAGAATAGGTATGTTCCAGTATAACAAATATTTAAACATTTCTGAAAACCATTTGAAAGACTGAAAATTATTGATATATATCCAGTGTTGGATTTACATGTGCTAGTATGGGCTAGGACCCCCAAGGACCTGCTAGTCTTATGCCTCTGATAAAACTAAAAAAAGATATACAAACAGAGGATGTATCTTTATTTTCAGATTTATTAGGGCTCCTTTGAACTAATTTGAAACAATTTAGAGTATTTGGGCCCCCTCGAATTGGAGGGGTCTTTTAAATTTGATGTTAATGGTGATATTAACCATTTCTCTACAAGGGAACATTTGGCATTCATTAACTGAGCAATCAGTATGGTTTTTGGTTGAAATTTATAAAATCTTTCTCTTGAAATGCTTTTTAGGAAAACAGATTTCCCAAATCCAGTAGCTTTTATCATTCTATACAGTATTGATGGGGGGGGGGTCCTTCCTAACCTTCTATTTGAAGTGGTGTGGAATGTCAACATCTTGATTATGTCATTATTTTCTCTCTGAGTTACATGTGCTATTCATTTTAATTGTTGCCGCTGTTGGTAGTCCTCGAGTGATGTGGTTTCTGTTATTTGGTACAGTTCTTTATTTGAAGTAGTGCAGAATGTTGATATCTTGATTAAGTCATTATTTTCTCTTTGAGTCACATGTGCTATCCATTTTAATTGTTTGCTGCTGTTGGTAGTCCTCAAGTGATATAGTTTCTTTTAATTGGTACAGTTCTTTGTGATTCTGAGCACCAGGTCATTCAATGTTCAAAGAAGGATGATCTTTGCCAAAATCCCTCAGAAATTAACTCACTCAAAGCCTTTTTTAATCATTGATCTTAGAATGTAATTGTATACAGCTGACAGTTTAGATATTTCTGAACAGGTTTGGCACCATGCATGGCATCCATATAAAAGTCTCAATCTGATGAGGCTATTTAAGAATTTGAATGTGCTTCATTTAGATTTTGATGTATCTTTTTTATATACATATAGATTTTTGATGTAACTTCATCTAAAAGCATATATATATATATATATTTTTTTTATAAACACAGCGAGGGGTAAACATACATGATAAAGGGATCTCTAGATTCTATTAGCGCAGGGGCTTCTTAAAACTTAAGTCCGATCTTGTGTATATCCATGAATATTAGAAAAGACTCCCAAAGATAAGAAATCTGAATTCAAATAATGTGCCAAGCCTATTCAGAGCATTGACTGTCATGGCTCTCCTCAACTTCCTATGTTTTGTTCTCAGTAACATTTGACCCATAACCATCCCTTTTCTTCTATCTATTCACATAAATTTATTTACTAAGGTGCTCACTGTTTCTCTTACTTTCAATATACACTGTCATATTTTAGCCCATTTTAATATTTTATTAATTTCTGGAAGGAAACATGTCCAGTATTTACTACCATACTGTGTGATAGATATAACATAACACGCACACCTCCACAGTCTTTTGAACAGGAATAGAGGTTTATTTCTTGTTTCCTGTTTAGGTTAAGGTCTGGTTCCTTCTAAATTCTTTTCATTCTCTTTCACTCCAAGTAGGCCCTTGTGTCTTAGTGGCATTATCACCTTGCTTGAGGTGAATTGATTTAAAAAAAAAAAACACAAAGAAGGAAGTTCAACATTCATTGCATTTTTTCTCAAGACATTTTCCTATATTTTCATACTTTGTCTATTTTATGGTGTTCACTGCCATATAGAAGCATAGATATGACTTAGCAGTTCCAAACATTTTTCTTTTCCTTTCTATGATCATTATCCTGTCTCATAATACTTTGCTTAGTTTCTGAAAGACATCTTTCACTATTCCAAAGTATCATCGCTACACACTTTAAAAAGCAGCAATCAAAATTTTAGCTTTTTATCTTGGTTTGAACATGATTACTCGGAGTAAATATGTAAGTATTTTGGTCATGAAGCAGGGTCTGTAATAATCATTATAACTAAAATGTTATTTCTCTACCTAAGAGTACAACTTATATATTGCAAAACACGCTATTTATCTTCCATTTAATCTAGAAAAGATGACATTACATGGACAAAATCTCTTGCTATAGTAGGAAAAAGATGAATACTTCGACATTTTTTGGAAGAACATTAAGCTTCCAAAGAAAATTGCTGCCGTTTCTGAAGACAGTCGGTTGGTGCCGTTGTTGTAAACCAAAGAAAGGTGGGCAGAAGGAAAGAAATTTGCGTAGTTTTTATGACCATTTTTGCTAAATGCCAATTCAGACAATTGGAACATAATTTCATTTTTGCAGACTTTTGTCTGAACCATTTTGATGGAATTTCCTTGAGCAAATCAACAAAACGGAATATTTCAGAGTTAAGTGGGGAAAAAAGGAAAAATGCAACAACATATTCACTGATGCAAGCATACGTACATACATATATATATATATATATATATATATATATATGCACATAAATAGCTATACAGTGCACTTACATAGACATATATGCAGATATATCTATATGTTATGCTGAAAGTAACAAGTTTTTACAGTGGTAGTTATTGGGTAGTGGTTTGTCGAAAGAAATTTCTGTCAAGCAAAATGACATGTTGGTGAAGAAATATTTGTTGTTAAAACAGATTTCAGGGAAATTGATTCATGCCTTTCCCAAGAGATTTTACATGAAGCATATATAAATTTGAAAGTAGCTTACTGATTATATCTTCTGATAATACAGACACAAACATAAATTTATATATCAATATATACACCAACATGCAAACAAGCACTTTTATATACTATATATATAAAAAACACACATGCATAAATATACATTTATATGCAAAAAAGCACTCAAATGCACACACACAAAACAAAACCCACACATTGTACATGCACACAAATATATATATATATATATATATATATATATATATATATATATATATTTAATAGAAAATAACAGTCAGATTTATAATCCAGAGCTCTTTAGTATTTATTTTTTTTTTTTATAAGTGCTTGATACAAATTAGAGCATACTATTATAATTATTTTTTTACAATTATTTAAAAAATAAAATTATATATATATATATATATATCCATTGAGTGTATCAATTTTTTGTGTTTATTTAGTACATAAGAAGAAAATGTTTACACATTAATAGATATACAAATGCAAAATATTCACATTATATGTAAGTAAAACCCACACTATTATTATTTTCTGTATATTTCTATAAATTAATGCACATGTGCTCACACACACATAAGTTATCACATTTTTGGTGTGGATATCCATATCTACCTGCAAATATATTTTTCATCTTTTTTACGTAACTTTGCAATATATATATATATATATATATATATTGAAAACAAAATGCAGAATATATAGTGTTCAGTACTGGGCATGGTTTTAGACATCAGCAAGGATTCTTAGAATATATTTCCCAATACGTATATACCCATTTACTTATATATATATTATTCTGCACTATTTTGCATGAATTTCATACATGAGGCAATTGGCAGGTGCTGCTACTCTCTCTTTCTCTCTCTCTCTATCTGTGTGTATATATATATATATATATATATATATATATATATATATATAATAAAAACGCATAGAGATACATCTCTCTCTCTCTCTCTCTCATATATATATATATATATATATAGAGAGAGAGAGAGAGATGTATATTTAGGCATTCAAACATGTTTCATTGAATAATATAGACATATTATGTCTATTTATTTTTATAATAATCCTTTATAGTTCTCTAATCAGTTTCTTGATGTTAAGAAGAAATTTACCAAAGAAGGCGCCATAGTTTTTCCTACTGTTTGTTTGTGTATGTATATATATATATATATATATAT